ACCGTGGCAAAATACTCGTGAAGGTGTCATCATTGCAAGCCACCACACGCATTTTTTAAATCTCGCTCTGAAAGAAATTCAACTTGCTTTTTTTTCAATTGGCATTTCGGCAAGGAACTTCCTGAACTATTGGGAAAAATGATAAAAAGGGTCACCAGTAACTTTACAAATATTCAGAAGGCACATTTAAACTCCTACAAATCTACATTTTTAAATTAATTAAACTATTTTTCTATTAATTTATATTTAAAAACACTTTTATATACTTTGTTATTTGGCTTTTGAAGTTGGGGGAAATTATGGATTATAGATTTCATAGTAATGCAGTACAACAGAAATGGAATCGACTGTTAAATTCTTCAATTTCTATAATGCCACATGGATTTTCTTTGCAGCTGGCTGTTCTCTTAGAAACTTGAAAATTGATTTTGCTTCATGGGTGCTTTTTATTCACTTCAGATTCTCTTTTGCCCGAAATTTTTTTTTTTCTTTCACCAGTTACAGCTGTAACTGAATCATTGTAGCTTTAACTCCTTTGGGTCTGAATTTACTTTTCTTTACAAATATCTGAAAGAAGGAAGCCAGATTGGAATGAGAACTAAATGAGTCTTTTTTCCCAAATTCTTCTGGAAGTTGAGGGAAGACACTTTGTGCCATCTTTGGAAGGAAATAGCAGGTCATTCTCTCCAGACCTGGAAGCATGCATGGAATGTAATTCTTTTTCTTGGGTAAATTTTCTGTGTATGTGGAGGCATCTTCTAGCCTTCTTGAGCATCTCGACAGTGCATCGAGTACTTCACTGTCAATCATTTCCACACCTGTTACTGTTCACCTGAGTTAATATTACCCCAACTGAGTTAAGATTTTTAACTAGAGCTAAAAGCAGTCTTCAGGGCTGTGAAATGGGAGATATTACCAGGAATGGCTAATAGATATGGAAAATGCATTGAAAAGGTTAGCTTTACTAATGGAACATCAAGACCATTGAAGAGGAGAGAGGGTTATTAATAGGCCTGTGCGAAGCGGTTAGTGTTTGCTTCAGATTCGGGTTTGGGGGACAGTGATTCTAATCACTGTCCCAAATCAGCTAGGCCAGGCCCATCCCCCGCCCACTCTCCCAGCCCAGCAGTGGCTGTCTCCATCCGCCCCAACTCCCGGCACTTGTGGGGGGCGGGATCCCCAACTCACTGAGTGCTGCCGGGTGGGGGCGAGCCCTGCTGCCCCATGCTGCATGGGGGGGCTCTGCACGAGCCCCCCCACGGGGAAACAAAAAACCTGGGACTCGCTGCTTCTGCCAGTGGGGGGGGGCGATCCCCACTGCCCCATGCCACGTGGGGGGGCTCTTCCACAAGCCCCCTGAGGCCGCTGCAGGAACAGTGTGTCCCGGGGCTTTTCTTGGTTCTTTGGGTTTTTTTTGTTTTTTATTTTTTGTTTTTTTTCTTAAAGGGCCGGAGTTGGCCTGGGCAGGGCACCTGTGTGGGGGCTGGGACAGTGGGGGGGCAGTGGGGATCGCCGTGCCCCCCCCCCCCAGTGAGCACCAGAGCTTTTTTTAAAGTACTGGGAGCTGGGACAGGCTGGGGGAGCAGTGGGGGCTGGCAGGGGTCCCCCCATGGGTCCCTCCCCTGCCCCTAGTACTTACCAGCTTGGAGTCGGCTGCAGCTCCCTGCTGCAGCCACCGAGGACTGACCAAATCATCAAAGCGCTCTGAATCTTTTCTGAAGGTTCAGAGAGTTTTGAATCAATTCAGACCTTTATATTGGTCTTCTGATTCGGAGATTCGGCCACTGAATCGGGCCCAATCTCCTCCAAATTGAATCGCCACCCAAAGCTTCGCACAGCCCTAGTTGTTGATACCTATACAATGAAGAAATACTAACAGGAATCAGGTAGATTATAATGAACTATGCAGAAATAGAATAGAAATGCCCCTGCCCTTCCTGAGCAGTAGGTTTTAAAGTTTGGGTGAAGCAGGAATCAGTGGACCTGCACTCCCCTGAATCCAGCCCTGCATGGAGGCGTTTCCTTTCTCCCCAAGTTCTGGTAGGCCTGCTACTTTCCCTATCCAGATGGACCATGTTAAACTTGACACTCCTCCAGGACTTTCCTTATTAGAGGTTCCTCAGATTAGAAAGACTTCTGCTGAACTTGAATAAAGGAGCTTGTCCACGTCTGCCTCTCTGGCTGCCTAGATCACTGAGGCATACAGGAGAGGGGAGCTGTGCTTCTAAGCAGGATTATTCATCTAAGGGTATGCAAAGCAGGCCCTGTTTGATTATGATTCAGCATGAATCAGGAACAGTGATTCAGTATGTTGATTCAGATTTCATAGACATTAGGGCTGGAAGGGACCTCGGAAGATCAAGTCCAGCCCCCCACCCGAGGGGCAGGAAGTCAGCTGGGGTCATAGGATCCCAGCAAGATAAGCATCCAAATTTCTCTTAAAGGCATTCAATGTAGGTGTATGACAGATCACTGTCCCTGATCTGATTTGGCTGAATCCAAATCTGAATTCAGTGCTGATTCGGAAAATCAGCGATTCGGACATAGACACAGCTTTAAATGTTTTTTCTGTGTACCGTGAGGTACCAGCATGGCTTGTGAATGTTGCGATGCTGGGGCGCATGGAGTGTCCCACAGGAGTGGCAGGGGGTTGGCCCTCTACATGCTCGGCAGCAAACCTGGAAGTGGACCGAGGGTACTTCTGGTCCACTTTCACGTCCACCGGGGGGGCCCCAGCACCCCGCCCCCTCTGGCTCAGCGGTCAGCCACAGAGGGACCCTGGGTGTCCCCCCAGACCCAAGAGGCACCAGGTGCCGAGCTGGGTGGGTGCAGGGGGGGTCCCCAACATGCTCCCCAGTGGCCCTGGAAGTGGACCAGAAGTGCTTCTGGTTCACTTCTGGGCCTGCTGCTGAGCATGCTGGGGAGCCCCCTGTGCTTCAATGGGAAACTCCATGTGCCCCACCATCGCAGCATTCACGAGCCGCCTGCTACCTAGAGGTATGTAGAAAAAACATTTAAAGCTGTCTCTCTGTCCAAATCACCGAATCCTTCGAATCGTTTCAGAGAGGTTCCGATTTCGATTTGGAGAGATTAAAGGGTCCTCTGATTTGATTTGGATTCGGAGACTTGGCCACTGAATTGGGCCGAATCTCCACCAAATCAAATCGGGGCTGAAGCTTCGCACAGCCCTATATTCATCTCCTCTAAACAAGATTGGCTTTCATTGACCGATATTTGTTAAAAAGTTACTGTCCCCTCTTCTGTGGTTTTGCTTGTTTTTAATGTGTATAAACTGGCTTTTTCCTTATGTTAGGAGTGAAAATTCAGATCCAAAAATGCATTTCTACCAACATATCCTTACTGACTTTTTTACCCTGATAATAATTCTTTTTGCTGCTATGCACACAGTCCTTCATACTATTATATGTAGATGTTTTATATTGCCAAGTTGTCCTTAGTAATAGGAAAAGGCTTTCTTACAGTTTATTGTTTTAATTTTTATGCCTTCGTGCATAAGGTACCTTTTTCATGATGTAAATACATT